AATTTTATTTTTATTTCAGTAGTTTTTGGAATACAGGTGGTTTTGGTTATGTGGATAAGTTCTTTAGTGGTTATTTCTGAGATTTTAGTGCACCTGTCACCCGAGCAGCCTATACTGTACCTGATTTGTAGTGCTTTATCCCTTATCCCCATCCCAACCATCCCCCACCCCAGTCTCCAGGGTCTGTTATATCATTCTTATGCCTTTGTGTTATCATATCTTAGCTTCCACTTACAACTGAGAATATACCGTATTTGGTTCTCCAGTCCTGAAAACTCAATATTTTAATGCCATATTTGAAATATCAAAATTAAGCAAAAGTACATTATGAATAAAATATTAATATATTAAGCAAAGACAGTATCGGTATCAATGAGTTTTTCTTCTGTCTCAGGCTGTGATTGACTACAAGGGGTACTGGTACTGATCCTTCTTCACTTGTTTTTGATCCTGCTTCACTCCTCTCATCGTGGTCTAGGGGAGGAAGTGGGCTGGATCAGGGGTGGGAGACAGGGTGCCTTGAATAGCTTGCAATTTAGTTCCTGAATGGGAGTTTGAAATGGACAGACAATGTGTTGGATTTCAGAAAAGTAAAGCTCTAATTCTTGCACATGTAACTTGTGGGCTCAGATTTGAACTTCCTGCACATGAGTTGGCTGCAAGTTGTTATTGCATCTATAATGAAATAATTTATAAATTTGTTTTATATCTCTATGTGGGATTAAATATTTGGTGACTTGTTGGTAACAGCTGAAGTCAGGGGTGACTTATAGAAATCATGTTGCCATTTTCTTAGATGGTTTCAAATCTGTAGGGATATCTGTATGTATGTATATATCTCTGTCTATATATATTCTGAACTTCATTACAGTGTGCCATCTTTTCTAGTGCTAATATTAGAGTCATTGGTATATATAGTTCTCAAGATCCTTCCAGTGATTTATCAAAAATGACAGAAAAATATTTTGACCAACAATTTCATAGATTCACCCTTGACATATTTTCTAATGTCCTGGGTAATGTCAGCTTTCATCTCATCTAGCCTCTGCCATTTCCAATAAAAATGAAACAAAAATGGGTAACATTTTATCAGTCTGACTATGCACCAGAAACTTTGGAAATTGCATTACATGCATTATCTTATTTTCTAGGACAGCTCTATAAGAGATGCACAATTAAAGTGTCTTTTTACAGGTGAAGAAACTGTACCCTAAGATAGTCACAGGACTGGCAAATGGTAAACTCAAACCCCTGTCTGCCTGGTTCCAAAGCTTGTTCATATCCTCACTGTGCCAAACCACCAAATACAGTGTTCTTATACCTCAAGATGAGGTCCACTGATCCCCTTACCCCAGGTGGCAACAGTGTTTTCCTTTTTCTTAGGGTTAGAATATTGTGTAGCATCTCCAGTTTACAGGGGCTGTATTATCTCTGTTTATTCCTAGGAACTTATTATAATTGATGAAGTATTAAGACTAAGTTTCCTTATGAAAAATAACTATGAAAATAATGTCAACAGATAGTGCTGGTGATGGAATTGAGTAGAAAATCTAGCACAAAATGGAAAATTTATAAAACAAATGACAGACCATGTTGATATTTGTGAATTGGATCAGTATTCTTTTATTTGCAAATGACAGAAAACCTTCTCAAACAAGATCTTGGGAGCTGGGCTGGTGTCTTTGCGAGGGTGGACTGGGATCTGGATTTGGAGTGGAAGGAAGCGCTAATGACGTGGGGATGTGAAGGCCACCCGAGCTAAGACCAGAACAGGGAGTAGTCTAAAGGTTAGGGTTTCAGGGCAAGAGTGAGACTGCAGAAAGAAAACAAGACAACTGTGCAATAATGGAGGTCAGTCCATTCAGGCTGCCATAACAAAATACCATAAACCAGGGGGTTTACAGAAGCACATATTTATTTCTCATGGTTCTGGACACTGGAAAGTTCAAGATTAAGGTGCCAGCTGTGTTTGGTGAGGGCCCGCTTCTTTATTGATGGTATCTCCTCACCCTCGTCTCACATGGCAGAAGAGTAATGGGTCTCTCTAGGGCCTCTTTTATAAGGGCACTAATCCCAAAGATGGGGGCTTCACTTCCATGATCTAATCATTTCTCAAGTGCTCGAGTCACCCGAAACGCCAAGGCATGATTAGGGTGCTGGAACTTTCACCCCAACACTCAACCAATAGGAAGGGAAGAGGAGTTGAACTTGAGTTCAGTCACCAATGGTCAGTGATTTAATCAATCATGCTTACATAGTGAAACCTTCATAACAGACCCTAATCAATGGTATTAGAAGAACTTTCTGGCTGGTGTACACATTGAGGTGCTGGGACAGTGGTCGGCCTGGAGAAAGCAGGTAAACTCTGTACCCCTCAGCCCTCTATACCTCGCCCCATGGATAGGGCAAATAGACATGTCAAAGGATTACAGATGTACAGAGTGGTTTCTGATTCCAGGTTGGAACCTGACTTACACACTGTGCTGCTCATCTTTGATCTTCATAGGCCTATACTCTAATACTACTTTAGTAATACGTATATAGGACCAGTAAGAACACTTAGCACAACCATTCTCTTCAAGTGCCATATTCTGGAGAGCTTCAATTCCAAAGCAAAAGATGTGTATCAGATTTTATAGCAAAAAAAAAAAAAAAAAAAAAAAAAAAAAAAAAAAAAAAAAAAAAAAGAATGAAGTTTTGGTAAAGGCAGGAAGATAAATCAAGAATACACATATGGGAGGGGTTGAAAGTAGGTGTAAGACAAGAAGCCTGCGCATTTTGGCGTGAGGAGGGGAAGGAACTGGTAGAGATGGTGGGTGGGTCACTGACTGAATGGCCCAGTGGTGGCATCTTCAGGTGAGGCGCGTATATGAGGAGGAGAGGAGAGTTCTTCCCAAGGGGCAAGTAAAGAGAAGGTGAATAAAAGGAAGGATACTATTCGAGAATGATGCAGTGGAGAGGAAACAGGAAAAAAAATTGAGGAAGATTTCTCCCATTTAATGAAGTACTTCAGTGTGTCTAATTGGAAATATACATTATTAGTGGAAGTCTTTCAAATGAGTTCCTCAGCAAAGCCCAAGGTGGTTTAAGAATTTAATCTCTGTTTTCCCTCTTTCACTCATGGATATGCTTATGTATTATTATCATCAAGTGGACCAGTTGATTCTCTAGTTGGTTTTGTTGTGACATAAAATACCTGTTTAAGTGATCTTTTTACATGATAAATATGGTACCTTATAGATTTTTGAACTCTCAGTGTTTTCTCTCATGATTATTTGCCTTCATCCTTTTTCCTTTTCCTCTCTTCAAGAAGCTGTGCTCTTCTGTGCTCATTCCCTATAGAGGAATGTGGATCTTGAAGGTTTGGTGAAATCATATTTGTTTCCATTCTTTCCCAGGCTTTCCTTTTCTAGAATGCTAAGCCTCAAAGAGAATAAAAAGCCAGAGCTGAGGATTGGAGGAGGTTAGAGCTTTTCCAGGCAGATAGAAAAATTCAGATGAATTTGTGAAATTTGTGAATAAAGGGATCTATGCCTTGCTCCCTAGGAGTAACCCTGGAGAGATGAGACGATCCCATCTGCCTTTGTCGCCTGGATGAATCCTGACTTAACTGCTGTGCTGCCTGTCTTTGAGCTTATAAGCCTATAAACTAACAATGCTTTAGTCATTAGAGATATACATTCCAGTATATAGGACTATTAAGAACACTTAACACAACCATTCTCCTTAAGTGTCATATTTGGGAAGAAATGACTGCATGACATGTCTAGGTACCTGGTACCTTAGACAATCATACAGATGTTCTGTACCCCAGCATGGTATGAACGTAGAATGAGTCTTAATCTCCAGTAGTCTCCCAGAAGCAGCAGAGATTGTGTTGGACCTGAAGGAGCCCTGCAGACAGGGATGAGGCATGTCTCCTTCAGAGGAGGCAATGGCTATACCAGTGTGTGTCCCCAGGCTCAGATTACACACAGAGCCAGATGGTCTCCTTCTGATGCTTGGATACTGCAAATAGCCCCAGAACTTAAACACAACCTCACAGGAAAGTGGCAAGGGAGCCCAAATTAACTGAGATTAAGAAAAAGAACCTCATTTTTTCCCAGTTTATATCTAGGTTGTCTCCAAGTCATTTATTGCAAATTCATTTTTTTTCAACTGATTTAAAACAACATCACATGACATACTAAAAATTATTATTTAGGTCTATATTTGGACTTTCTTTTCTATCCCAGTGAATTATTTATCTATTTTTGAACAGGCACTGTATATTCTTAATATTGTAGCTTTGTAATATATATTATGACTTGTAGGGCTACTTCCTCCTTGTTACTCTTCTTTTTTAGATTTTTAAAAATTATTTTTGCTTATATTTTTATAGAAACTTTAAGATTAGCTTCAGTAGTTCAAATTATTGCCAGTATTTTTACTAGAATCAATTTAAAATTATGAATTAATTAATGGAGGTTTACACTTTTATCATGTTGATTTTTCCTATTCAGAAATATGGTATGCTTTTATTATTTGTTCATACCTATTTTTATTGTTTTCCATTACTAGTGTTATATAGTTTCTTCACATAAATTTTGCACATTTCTCATTAGGTTTCCTGTGTATAAGTCAGAGTCCCAGCAAGAAAGATATAGCAGGTATTCAAATGGGCTAATGGAGGGGAGTTTGATGAAAGGATTATTTTCAAAGGTGAGGAAAGGGTTAAGGAGACTCAACAAGGGACAGTGTAAAAGCTAATTTTAGGTGTATACTTGACTGGATTAAGTAATACCTAGAGAGCTGGTAAAGGATTATTTCTGGGTCTATAAGGGTGATTTTGGAAAAGATTGACATTTAAGCCAGCAGACTGTGTAAGGAAGATCCACTCTCACTCAATGTGAGCGAAGACCATCCAGTCAGCTCAGGGCCCAGATAGAACAAAAAGGCAGAAGAAAATCAGATTCACTCTCTGTCCTCTGGAACTGAAACACTTTCTTTTCCTGCCATAGGACATCAGAACCCTAGGTTCTCTGGTCCTGGGACTCTGAGACTTCCACAGCAATCCTGCCCAGGCTCTCAGGCCTTTGGACTCAGACTGAGCTACTTCACTGGCTTTCCTGGTTCTCCAGCTTGAAGATGACAGATCGTAGGACTTCTCAGCCTCCATAAACGTGCGAGCCAATTCCCATAGTAAGTCCCCTCTCATGTATTTATATCTATATCCATGTACTATTGATTCTGTTTCTCTGAAGAACCCTGGAGAACACAGGCAGTAAAATATCCTGGGGCTAGCAATTGCAGAGAGTAACTAGAAGGTGGAAGGAGTGTACCAGACTCAGGAGGGGGTACTTAGAAGACATTCATGCCCTACACAGTGGGTGGCCATCTGTAGAGGGATGCGGTCAACCCAGGGAAGGACACACCCTGACCTCGCTCTTCTCTTGCCATCTGATTACCTGGCAGTGCCTTCTACTGGCCAAATCCAACAGAAGCCAGAGAAGATAGGTAATCATTGATGTGGTTCACAAATGTCAATCTCCTGGAACACAGAGAAGAGAAGAGTAAAGAGTAGATCTACAGGGGGTAAATGAGTGATACTTAGCACACTGCCTATTTTATTTTTTTGTTAACATTGTAAAAATGAAGTCTTCTGTTGTCTCTCTCTGATATGCGTGTGTGTGTGTGTGTGTGTGTGTGTGTGTGTGTGTAGTTCTGCCATACTTGAAGCTAAACGCTAAAGGAGATGATGAACAATTAGACAAGTAGTTATAATAAATGTGCTATGATATGAGAAGTGAAAGATCCCATGAAAGCTTTAGTAGATAAACCTTGTGAAGTCTATGGAGTCATAAATTGCTCCTGAAACAAGAGAGGTTTAAATAGATATCCTGAGGATAAGGAAGGTGTTAGGCAGATGAAGAGGCTGATGCTGGTGGGGTATGGCAAAGAGAAACTGGGGGTGAGGGGGGTTTTCAAGTTTGATGAGGGGTTTAAATATTTTATTTTTTACTGTTTACTTGCTATCTGACTTTGGGTGAATTACTTAACTTTGCTGTGCCACAATTTTTCCATCTGTAAAGTAGTTGTTATACTGTATTAGTCCGTTTTCACACTGCTGATAAAGACATACCCGAGACCGGGCAATTTACAAAAGAAAGAAGTTTAATGGACTTACAGTTCACATGGCGGGAGGTTGGGGTCTCACAATCATGGCAGAAGGCAAGGAGGAGCAAATCACGCCTTGCATGGATGGCAGCAGGCAAAGAGAGAGCTAGTGTAGGGAGACTCCCATTTTTAAAACCATCAAATCTCTTGAGATTCAGATCTGCCCCCATAATTTAATCACCTCCCCCTGGGTTCCTCCCATGACCCATGGGAATTGTGGGAGTTACAATTTAAGATGAGATATGGGTGGGGACACTGACAAACCATATCATTCCACCCCAGCCCCTCCCAAATCTCATGTCCTCACATTTTAAAACCAATCATGCCTTCCCAGCAGTCCCCCAAAGGCTTAACTCATTTCAGCATTAACTTGGAGGTTTACAGTCCAAAGTCTTATCTGAGATAAGGCAAGTCATTTCTGCCTATGAGCCTGTAAAATCAAAAGCAAGTTAGTTACTTCATAGATACAATGTGGGTACAGGAATTGGGTAAATGCAGCCATTCCAAATGGGAGAAATTGACCAAAACACAGGGCTACAGGCCTCGTGCAAGTCAGAAATCCAGCAGGGCAGTCAAATCTTAAAGCTCCAAAATGATCTCCTTTGACTCCATGCCTCACACCTAGTCATGCTAATACAAGAGTTGGGCTCCCCTCTCCTTGGGCAGCTGTGCCCTTGTGGCTTTGCAGGGTAAATACAGGTGCGCAGTGCAAGCTGTGGTGGATCTATCATGCTGGGGTCTGGAGGATGGTGGCCCTCTTCTCACAGCTGCACTAAGTGGTGCCCCCAGAGGGACTCTGTGTGGGAGCTTTGACCCCACATTTCCCTTCTGCACTGCTCTAGCAGAGGTTCTCCATGAGCACTCTGCCCCTGCAGCAAACTTCTGCCCAGCATCCAGGCATTTCCATACATCCTCTGAAATCTAGGCAGAGGTTCTCAAACCTCAATTCTTGACTTCTGTGCACCTGCAGACTCAACACCATGTGGAAGTTGCCAAGGTTTGGGATTCCACCCTCTGAAGCAACATCCCAAGCTGTTACTTTTAGTCATGGCTGGAGCAGCTGAGATGCAGGGCACCAAGTCCCTAAACTACATACAGCAGAGGGACCCTGGTCCTGGCCCATGAAACCATTTTTTCCTCCTAAACCTCCAAGCCTGTGATAAGAGGGGCTGCCGCAAACCACAAAGGTCTCTGACATGCCCTGGGGACATCTTCCCCATTGTCTTGGGGATTAACGTTTGGTTTCTTGTTACTTATGCAAATTTCTGCAGCCAGCTTGAATTTCTCCTCAGAAAATGGGATTTTCTTTTCTATCTCATTGTCAGGCTGTACATTTTTCAAACTTTTATACTCTGTTTCCCTTTTAAAATGGAATTATTTTAACAGCACCCAAGTCACCTCTTGAATGCTTTGCTGCTTATACATTTCTTTTGCCAGATACCCTAAATCATCTTTCTCAAGTTCAGAGTCCCACAAATCTCTAGGGCAGGGACAAATTGCTGCCAGTCTCTTTTCTATAACAAGAGTCAGCTTTGCTCCAGTTTCCAACAAGTTCTTCATCTCCATCTGAGATCACCTTAGCCTGGATTTCATTGTCCATATCATTATCAGGATTTTGTTCAAAGCCATTCAACAAGTCTCTACGGAGTTCCAAACTTTCCACATTTTCCTATTTTCTTCCAAGCCCTCCAGACTGTTCTAACCTCTGTCTGTTACCCAGCTCCAAAGTTGCCTCCACATTTTCAGGTATCTTTTCAGCAGCACCCCACTTTACTGGTACCAATTTACTGTATTAGTCAGTTTTCATGCTGCTGATAAAGATATACGCAAGACTGGGCAATTTACGAAAGAAAGAAGTTTAATGGACTTACAGTTTCACATGGCTGGGGAGGCCTCACAATCATGGTGGAAGGCAAGGAGGAGCAAGTCACGTCTTACATGGATGGCAGCAGGCAAAGAGAGAGCTTGTGCAGGGAAACTCTCATTTTTAAAACCATCAAATCTTGTGAGACTAATTCACTATCACAAGAACAGCACAGAAAAGATCCACCCCCATAATTTAATCACCTCCCACTGGGTTCCTCCCATGACATATGAGAATTGTGGGAGTTATAATTGAAGATGAGATTTGGGTGGGGACACAGAAAAACCATATCATATACTAAACTCACAAGTTGTTGTAAGGATTAAACAAGAAAATGCATTTACATTTTTGAGACAGTGCTTGGCAGATAGCACATGCTCAATAAATGGTAGCTATTATTATTAACAGTGTATGAGGAAGAGTTGGAGTCAGTAGAGAGTGAGATCTATTGGAGTAAATACATCTGACTGTATACTGCTAGTGAGAGAGTCAGAGGCCCCACTGAAGACAAAGATAAGGATCTGAAGAACTGACAGCTTCATAGTAAGTTTTCATATTGTTCCAAGAGCAGTAAAAAGATAGATTTAATACAGGGAAGTTATATGTTCATATGTCTATTTTTGAAAGTTTTGCTGCCACTGTTCATGTCTTGCCTCTTTTCTACAAGCCACATTTCCAAGCTCCCTTGCAGTTAGGGTCCATATACCTAACTTTTGGCCAAGGGTGTGTATTAGTCAGGACTCACAAGATAAATAGGACCAATAGGATGGATGGATAGATAGATAGACAGAAACAGATTTATTATAAAAAATTGTTTTATGTGATTATAGAGACTGGGAAGTCCAAAATCTGCAGTGTGAAATGGCAGGCAGAGGCTGAGGAGAGCCTATGATGCCAATGAAATGTGAACATAGTTTGCTGAAGAATTCCCTCTTGCTTGAGGAGGCTGGTCTTTTTGTTCTATTCAGGGCTTCAACTGATTGCATGAGCCTCATTTATATTATAGGAGGGCAATCTTCTTTACGCAAAGTTCACTGTTTAAAATGTTAATACCATTCAAAAACATCATCTAAGTTAACACATAAAATTAACCATCACAGGATGTATTGGGTAGAAGTGATGTGTGCCCCTTGTAGGCTGGGGGTCTTACCCTCTTGTGCACAATCTTCCATGCTTTCTTTCTTTGCTACTTGGCAGGTGGGAGGTACAGTATCTAGAATAGGATGTAAACTCTAGGGGGATGAAGGAGCTGCTAGGAGAAGGAAGCAAGTCCTTAAAAGATTAGGTGGAATAGACATTTGTCCATCTTTGTCTCTCATTGAATTGAGACATGTGAGAAACAGGCAGATGTTGTATTAAGCTTTGGGACTTAGGGTGTTGTAGGATTGTTTATTACAGCAGTTAGCATATTCTGACTGATGAATCATTCTGGCAGCAGGGAGGACAATGTGTTGAAACAGGTTAAGGCTAGCATCAGGAAGGCCAGCTAGGAATTTTTGGTACAAGTCCAGGCAAGAGATAATGCTGAGCTGGACTAGGTTGATGCAGCATGTGGACAGCAGATGTTTAAATTAATCATACTGTGAGTAGTAATAAACATTTAGTGTTTTACCAAATTATCTCAGTGAACACTCCAAATTTCTATTTTTTTCCAAGAAGAATAAATTGATTGTCCAGATTTATTCCACAATAAAGGAAAAGTTATGAAATATGATGCTATTTCTGGTTTCTTGTTAACAGTTCATGTTCAACTTAACCAAAAGAATCTTAGGCAAACCTGAAGTGATAATTCTTAATTAGGAGGTACATGGCAGTGCAGTTAGAGGGAAGAAAAGAGGAAGTGAGACAGAGAAGGATAAGAAGCAAATTCAAGTTGATATATACCAAGTGGGCCACTGCTACATGGCTCTAAAAAAAAAAATGTACCTTAGAACAGCCCATCAGATGGAAAATTGTGGGGGAAATTTATCTGTGAGCTGTCTCATGTCTCCTGTCTCCTGCTGGCTAAAGGTCATTCTAGGGAAAATTTATAACATTGCTCCACTGCTTTAGAGGTGGAGTGAGGACCCAGAGATTCTGGATGGCTGGACAGCCTAGCATGACTTGCTGTGGCTGCAGTTACTACAGAGCAAGCAGCCAATGGCCCACAAAATAGGTGAGG